TCTGCTTCTCCCTCTGACCCTCCTTCCTCTCATGCTCTCTGTCTCTCATTCTCTCTCTCTCAAATAAATAAATAAAATCTTAAAAAAAAAAAAAACCCTCAGAATGTTTTACAGCATGTGTCTACATAGGATCATAGATTATTATAAAACTTAATATTTAATTACTGCTTAACCAGGTGGCCATAAGAGATTTTATGGAAGGTTGTATAGTTGTTAGCAAAACTTAGCTCCTTTAATATTTTTTAAGATTTTGATTTATTTGAGAGAGAACGAGAGAGCATGAAGTGGGGGGCACAGGGAGGGGCAGAGGGAGAGGGAGCAGCAGGCTCCCTGCTGAGGGCAGAGCCCAATGAGGGGCTCAATCCCAGGACCCTGAGATTATGACCTGAGCCAAAGTCAGATGCTTAACCAACCAAGCCACCCAGCTCCTTTAATATTGAGAAGATTTATTTTTTTTTAAGTAATCAAAGACCTGATAAAAACAAATATGGAAACCCTTGTTTTTCTGGGCAAATAGGGAAGAAAAAACTTGTTTATAATTACTTATCAAGAGCAGACCAATAATCCAAATAACTCGTCTTTTTTTTTTTTTAACAGAGAGAAAAGCCAAATTTTAATTTTAGATCAGTGTGCTTTTAAAACTCCTTTATTCCAATCTCAGTCAGTCCTGACCACACATAAAATTTTTTTCAAGGATTCACCTTCACAAACCTTCTACAACTTTCTTTTTTACTTAGATTTTGTCCTAAATTTTCCCTCTCTACATAACCAGCCTCATTTCAGGACAAAATATTTTCTTTTCCATCAGCAAAAATATTTTTTCATTCCTTGTATCATTCTTACATATCTATTTTTTTACATACAGAGTTGCTTTGTTAAATCATTTTCCAGCAGTCTCAATCATATTTATCAGAATTTTAATTCTGAGAAACCTTAGTCTCCAGTGAAAACTAGTAACAAATTGTGAGTTATGACATCAGAATCTCCAGATTGGCAAATTTATGAATAGATTTTATAACTTCTAGAAACATCTTTTCTTTTCATAGTACAATCTTTCAATAAGGGACAAAGCATGTTTACCAACTCACTCAATTATCTTTAGTTCATCTGCAATAAGAAGCCAAAAGCAGACAAACTTATGTTTAGTAATTAGTGTTTTAATATCTCATCTTAACTGGAAAAGACTTAGATAGCCAATGAATTTAACCTAACTCATCATTTAACTTAGCACAACTTCAAAGTTTTAGGTGACCAGTGATTTTTTGGAAGCTATTTAAAAGTTTACCCGGAAACCCTTTTATTTATTTCACTTACTCATTCTTAACAATTACCCATGAAAACTTCATGAGACAAAGTCAACCATTATTTTAAGTCCCCTCCTGCTGACAAATTGCAACAGCGATAACATAAACTTAATAAATTCAGGTAGAACAAAACTTGGTTCTCTGTATTATATTTGATATGGATAACTCTAAAGACATGTTTATTTTAATTAAACCAACAACCTTGTTTTAGCTTTAATACTTCATTTTGTTGCATCTGTATCCACTGAAAAGTCAATCAGTTTCTTTCCCAATGGTCAATTTTATTTGGGGCTCCCGTGGGGAAATCTGAAGTGAGCGGTTTGAGTCCAGGGGAGCCCTTGAACTCCTTCATGTTGATTTGGGAGGTGCTTCAGTTTGAACCTCATAAGGAGGTAGCCCAGTAGCTCGGGGTGCCTTTTGCTCTTTGCTGGTGAGGGTAGAAGGAGCCGGAGTTCATGGTGCTGGAGGCATGGAAGATGGCATTGGTGCTGGCCACGCGAGCAGCCAGGTGGGGGAGCGGAACAGGAAGAGGCAGAGACAGAGGGAGCAGGGGTACTTCTGGTAAGGCCAGAGGCAGATTTAAAGTTTTCGGATAACATTAAGAAAAAAAATAATCCCCTCCTGTCTGGTTGCGTTTCAGCCTTCTAGAAGAGGCGGAGGAGTCCGCAGTGGGTTGGATACTGATTCTGGTGTTTGTGCTTGGAGTACAAGGGGTGGATTTAGAATTTGTAGCATCTGCCTGTCTTCCTCCTCCTCATTATTCTGACTATTGGGAAAGGGGTCAGGTGTCTTACATTTTGTTCATCTTTGTCTCTCTGGATCATCAGTTAGGTCCCTTCCTGTGATGTGTCTTTATTAGGGAATAACATAAAAGTCTGAGTTTGGAGAATTTTATCCCAGATCATGTGAACTGGAAAAACATTTGAGTGAGCTTTTATCTTTCGAGTTTTAGAATGCCCAATTTTTACAAGTGCTTGCCTTTAAGCCGATTAAATGGAGCTCTTCCACAAATTAATTTTAGCAATACCATCCGGAGGTAGAGCAAACACCTTACGTTTCTAACACACATGGACACCTGTACGCAAACAGGATGCAAACGCCTTTAGTCTATGTTTCATTAATATTTGTGGAGAGGACATTAAAGACCCAAATTCAAATATCTCCCCCCTTTTTTTTTAAGATTTTATTTATTTATTTGAGAGAGAGAGAATGAGAGAGAAAGAACACATGAGAGGGGTGAGGGTCAGAGGGAGAAGCAGACTCCCTGCCGAGCAGGGAGACCGATGTGGGACTCGATCCGGGACTCCAGGATCATGACCTGAGCCGAAGGCAGTCGCTTAACCAACTGAGCCACCCAGGCGCCCCCAAATGTCCCCATTTTATTACAACCAATCGGATTATAATATGGCATTATAATTTATGGATCCATTAATTAGCTATTTCCCATTTCCTATTAGAACACCGCTGGATGTGTACAAAGATACCAAAACTGTAGCAACAGACAATCCAAATGAAGCCAAAGCACCTCTGTGATCATTGGCTCCTCCCCTAAAGCCAGGGCCTTCACTGACTGAATCAAATGGCTTCCTAGGGTCTGGTGACTTAGTCTTGTAGCTGGCTTTCTCTAACTGTGTGCACAAGAAACTAATTCAGACATGTCAATAGAACCCTATTTGGGCCATATGAGACTCAGGTTATCCTTAAATATTCCCATTTAAGTAAGTGCTTGCGAGTATAGGCTCATATGTACCATACATGTAGCCCCCCAGAGCTTCTGTGGGTGGCTATTGGTTTTCTGGTGGTCCTTCCATCCTTTGAGGCACGGTTCCCCATTTCTTTCAGTTTTATTTTTAGAATAAGCCTTGAATACGATCTAAGGATATGAAGTGTGGTGGATCGAGAGGGTGCTGTTGATGCGTGTCACTTTCCAAACAGCTGTGATACACTCTTAGGTGTCTCAGTTTTTCCCAGCAAGGTCTGAGACCACCAAGGGGACTCGGAGCACTGGATGATTAATCCTTAAGTGTGTGTCCCCAGAGGAGCCATTACCTTATCAGATGGAAATTCCTACGGGACCGTGCACAGGACTGTGACAGGTCTTGAGGAATATCCTCAGACACTTCTGCTAGACTCTCAGTCGCCTGAAAGCACTGTCTGGCTGGAAGGAGCAAGTGTCCCCTCTCTCCAGAACTGAATGATTTAGTCTCTCCTATTTCTAGCCAGAAAATATTCAAGCTTTACATTAATAACATCAGTATAATGCCAAAGTGAAACAACCAACCCATCAACTCCCACTTCTAGGTGATTTCCACCTAGAGATCATTACCAACCAGTAACCTTTCACAGTTCGAAAATAAGTCAGGAGCTTCAACTCAGACTGAGGAGGTCCGGATATCAGGGGAACTCACCAAATATAGCTGTGAAATACTGAGAAGTCAGAGGGGCACAGGGGGCCGGGGCTCGTACCAAGCACCGAGTTCCCGCCGACCCCCAAGTGTTCTCAGGTGAGTTGCTACAATATCCTGTCTACTATGCCAAGAACTGCCAACACATAATGAACAAACTTCTAGAACTGAAAAAAAAAAAAAAAAGAAAGAAAGAAAAAGAAAAAGAAGAGAGTTTTATTCGAGCCCAAGTGAGGACAGCTGCCCGGGATACACAATCTTCACAAAGAAGAGAGTGCTCCTGAGAAGGAATGTTTACTACAGGGTTATGTATGGTTTTTTGTTACATCAAGAGTTACAAATCAAAATGATAAAGGACATTTCAGGAAAATCACAAACTTTATCTTATGTGCAAGGTCGCAGGCTTCGGAAGTATGGGTACAGAACTTAGGGAGATTTTTACTCTTATTTTTGGTTGAAATGTTTCTTTTAGGTTATTTGCTAACAGATGTACAATGTGTGCTCGGGGCAGAAACAGAGCCCATGCTTTGAAGTTTGGTGAAGTCATCCTGATCCTGGTAACAATCGAGCTTCCCTGGGAGTCCAGGAGCAGGGCCCACAAAGATTGAAAGTCGAAAATTTCCTTTATCACCTCTTGGCGCTTGCCCACTACCCCCCACCCCGCCCCCAACACTCTCCCCCTCCCGCTGGAGAAAAATTTAGGACATGAATCTCACCGTCCAGGGATTTACCAGGGCCCTCACGGCCTGGGTTGTTGGTGCTCCTCCTGCCCTGACTGGCACTATTAACCACCCGAGCGCAGCTCCACCACCGGGCAGCGCAAAGCCCCAAACCCAGCGGCCTCCACCGCTGCCCAGCCTCCAACCCGGGAGGCTGCAGAGGTTGCCCAGAGCCAGTCTTGGCGGACTCGCGGACGGAGGGGCGGAGATGGGTGGGGGCGGAGTCAGAGCGCACGCGTTGGCCCCGCCCACTGAAGTCGGGTATAAAGTCCCGCCCGTTCGCGCTCTACTCCCAGTCCTGGAAGGCACGGAAACAACATCAGCATGTCGTTGTCCAAGTCGACGATGGTTCTAGGTTACTGGGATATTCGCGGGGTGAGTGCCGTCTCGACGGCCGAGTGCCCCGCCCCAGCCGAGCTCCCCGACCGCGGAGACCGACCCCGCCTGGCGTCTGGGGTCACCGGGCCTCAGAGAAGGATAAGGGCAGCAAACCGCCGGGGCCGATCTCGGTGGGGGGTGGGGGGCCGCTTAACGACCGCCTGGGCAGGATGCACGGTTTGTGCAGCCCCCGGTAGGGAGACGTTGGCGGGCGGGGGTTGGGGGTCGGTGGGCGCCGCGCAGGCGCTGACGGCGGGTTTTTCTCCCCCAGCTGGCGCACGCCATCCGCATGCTCCTGGAGTTCACCGATACATCCTATGAGGAGAAACAGTACACGTGCGGGGAAGGTAATGCGTCCCGTATCCGTGCATCCGGTGTCCCGCGCTATAAGCCCCCTGGCCCTCCAACTGTCCCTGTCGTCTTGTGCCCAGAGAGTGGTATCACGCCTAAGTCGGGTGGGACATCTGCCCCGATCATCCGGGACCCCCCATGCTGTGTCCCGTGTGGAGAGAGATGGATGCGTCCTTTACCGAGCTGGGGATCCTGCCTGTGCCGCCGTCCAACCGTGTCTGAAAGGTTTACTTACTAAATAGGCCCGGAGAGTAAATGGTTAACTTTGGGGGCCTCGGAATGTGAGGTATTAGGATCAGGTTATTTCTTTAGATCTTTCCACTCTCCTCAGGCAGGATGTTAAGGAGGTTGGGTCCCACTTCATTCTCTTACAGCTCCCGACTATGATAGAAGCCAATGGCTGGATGTGAAATTCAAGCTCGACCTGGACTTTCCTAACGTATGTGGCTTTAGGAGAAGAGGGGGCAGAAGGGAAGGCCGTCAAATATTTCCTTGCTTCTTTCCTCTCCGGTCTAGGGGGACCTAGAATGTGGGCTCTTAACGTGGATAAAATAAATAGAATTCAAGGGTGCCTCAACTTGAGAAAAAAAAGTGATTTTCATTTCCACTAGCCACGAACGAAAAGTTAACAATTCCTTCTATTGTGAATATAGGTAATAAGTGACATTGGTTATTAGCTATGGCTGTGACCTTGTCACTAGTACAATTGGGTATTTTCATATTACATGTGTGGCAGTACATAAATATTAGTTACATGCATCATACTTTGAAATTATGATCGTTGTTACCCTTGCTTGTTATTTAATGCATTAATAGGCACATATTACTCTATGATAATTTTGTTTCTTGAATGTTTTATAAATTGTGAAAATATCTGTAATTTGCTTTATACATTTAAAAATCTTATTCTGACGAAGGATCCGTAGCATGCACATACACATACACACAGAGAGAGATAAAGAACCCTGGTCTAGAACCAGGTGGGGGCCCAACTGCTACTTTCTACTTATTTTCTTCTTCCTCCTAACACAGCATCTTCTCTCTACTGTTCACTTCCCTGCAAGTCTCAAACGCCCCAGGAGAGAGAGGCAGGGAGGCAAGAGAGAGTTGGTTGTTCATCTGACATGTCCTTTTCCTTCCAGCTGCCCTACCTCATGGATGGTAAGAACAAGATCACCCAGAGCAATGCTATCTTGCGCTACATCGCTCGCAAGCACAATATGTGTGAGTGGCGTAGGGCCAGTGAGGGACACCAGGCTGACGGTTCTCCGGGAGGTGGGTAATTCTAAGGGTGATTTCTCGTCCTTTGGCCTATAGGTGGTGAGACTGAAGAAGAAAAGATTCGAGTGGACATCATGGAGAACCAAATAATGGATTTCCGCCTGCAGCTGATACGACTGTGCTATAGCCCTGACCTTGTGAGTCTCCTTAGCAGGCAGGCATCAAGGAAAAGGAGCACCTAGAAACCCAGGGGTTCATTCGGCTCCATTCTGCCACTTCTGCTTTCCCACTAACCCAGTCTCTCAGAAATTGGGGGGGAGGGGTCCATTTGTCCTATAACTCTGGTGTTGGCCCTTCCTACTTTCTGTCCTGCCACCGCTACTGAAGGCAGTAAGAAGGAGGCACACGGAGAAGGGGGCCGCTAAGTGTCCCTCCCTGGCCCATGCCCTGAAGATGGCGACAGCTATTCTCTCACTCTCGCTCTCTTTTTCCCTCTCTCCCAGGACAAACTGAAGCCTCAGTACTTGGAACAGCTACCTGGACAACTGAAACAGTTCTCCTTGTTCCTGGGGAAATTCTCATGGTTTGCAGGAGAAAAGGTAGGAAGAAAGGAAAGAGGGAAGATGCCTTTCTATCTCCCAGTATTACTGAACTCTGCAGACCTGACCATCTTGTTCTCCTAGCTCACCTTTGTGGATTTCCTCACCTATGATGTCTTAGATCAGAACCGTATGTTTGAACCCAAGTGCCTGGATGAATTTCCAAATCTGAAGGCTTTCATGTACCGTTTTGAGGTGATGCTCCCTGCCCCTTTCCCTTACAGAAACACAGGCTCCCCTGGTCCCCAGGGGACCCCATTGTGGTAGATTCTTTCTCAACACTAGCATTTGTGTAAACGGATCCATGGTTGGACACTTCTAAACCTTCAAGTCTTGGGAAGGTTCTGGCTTCTACACCCTAAAGGCACTGTCTACATGAAATGGTGGCCGGGGGAGGGAGGGCTGGTGTCGAGACAGCAGTGTGTGAATGTCCCTGGCTCGGGATGGGTCTGTTGGACTGGGTTAGAGTCTTTATCAGGTGTGGTGTGCTCTCCCTTCAGGCTTTGGAGAAGATAGCTAACTACATGCAGTCTGACCGCTTCCTGAAGATGCCCGTCAACAACAAGATGGCCCAGTGGGGCAACAAGAGAATATGCTGAGCAGGAGGTGGACTTGCACTGCTTGTTTTATCCATCCTGTCCCTAGGGGGCATGTACTCTCTCTTCTCTGCTCTTTTCAATAAATAGCATTTAGGCTACTGGTGTCTAGCTGGATTTCTCTTGGGCGTAAAGGCCAGAGGAGAGTAAGGATACGTGGAAAATTTCCAAGACGTGAATCCAATCCCTGCAACACTGACAAGCCCCTTACACCCCCAACTGTGTTCAAAGCTAGAGGTGCTTGCCCAAGCCCTGAGAGCGAGCACTAGAAACAAAGGTGAGATCGGACAGTTGTAGTGAACAGGACTGTTAAATGGGACTGGAGCCCTTTAAAGATGTGGTGTAAATACCAAGCGAAACTGTATGGGACTGTGGATTTTGCGGAACTGGAGTTCAGAAACAGACCCTTATACGTGGGAATGTAGCATGATAAAGATGGAATCTCAAACTGGTGAGCTAACCAATAAATAGGATTGGGGCAATTATTTACCAATTAAAAATAATAGTGGGGCGCCTGGGTGGTTCAGTCGGTTAAGCGTCCCTACTCTTGGTTTCGACTCAGGTCATGATCTCAGGGTCATGGAATTGAGCCTCACGTTGGGGCACGCTCGCTCATGCTCTCTCGCTCGCTAAAATAAATAATAAAATCTTTAATAATAATATAATAATAGAGCCCTCCCTCACACCATTCACTAAAACTAACTCATCTTCAATTCAGGCCCAACATTAAACAGAGCTGTAGAGGGCGCCTGGGTGGCTCAGTTGGTTAAGCGACTGCCTTCGGCTCAGGTCATGATCCTGGAGTCCCTGGATCGAGTCCCCCATCGGGCTCCCTGCTAGGCAGGGAGTCTGCTTCTCCCTCTCCCACTCCCCGTTTGTGTTCCCTCTCTCGCTGTGTCTTTCTCTCTCAAATAAATAAAATCTTTAAAAAAATAAAAAATAGGGCACCTGGGTGGCTCAGTTGGTTAAGCGACTGCCTTCGGCTCAGGTCATGATCCTGGAGTCCCTGGATCGAGTCCCCCATCGGGCTCCCTGCTCGGCGGGGAGTCTGCTTCTCCCTCTGACCCTCCCCACTCTCATGTGCTCTCTCTCATTCTCTCTCTCTCAAATAAATAAATAAAATCTTTAAAAAAAAATTAAATTAAAAATAAAAAATAAACCAGAGCTGTAGAAGTTTTCATGAAAATGTAAGAATATTTGTGATCTTAGGGTAGGTTTCTCTAAATAGGACATAAAAACAAAAAGCTGTAAAAGGAAAGATCTGCAAATTGAACAGTATCAGATTTAAGAATTTTCTATGACAAGGCACAAATAAGCAAAATTAAATGACAAGATCACAAATGAGACAAAAACAAAAGGACAAAACAAAGACAAAAACAAAGTACCAGTATAAAGACTATATAAAGAACTCCTATAAATCATTAAGACTCTTTTTTAAAATGGACAGAAATCTATGAACAAATGATTTACGGAAATAGAAATAGTGATAGCCAAAAAAAAAAAACAAAAAACCAGATGTTTATAATCCAAGAACTGCAGATTATAGCAGTGAGAGACCATTTTCCATCTATCAAATGAACAAAACCTAAGAAGTTTGTGAAGCGCTGGCATTTCCTGCCAGTGAGCTTGTAAATCAGTATAGTTACATTGGAGGACAGTTTGCCAATATCTTCTAAAAATCAAATCATGTCCTGTAACCCAACAATTTCCATCCTGATAAAAAACTCACCCACGTACCTAAGCTATATACTAAGATTGTGGTATTGTTTGTGAGAACAGGTGAAAATCCTGTTCATGCCCATCAGTACTGTGGAATACCATAAGGCAACTGAAGAATGAGATTGAACTGTGTGAACTAATGTGGAAAGACCCCAAGACACATTGCTGAATTTTTTAAATTAGATTGCAGATAAGCATGTACATTTTATAGAAGGAAACCATGAGGTAAGCATGTTTGTGAATGCATAGAAAAAGATCTGGAAGGGGGCACCTGGGTGATGCTGTCGGTTAAGCATCCAACTCTTGGTTTCAGCTCAAGTTGTGATCTCGGGGTCA